CATAAGTTTATTGTTTCTAACTTTATGTTTTATCTTTCTTTACTTACTTTGTTTATAGTTTTCTTTACAATTCTTTTTTTTTTTTACAAAATTTCAATTTATTTATTATTTTCTCTACTATGTAATTTAATGCTTTCTTTTAGTTTTTGCTAGCTCTATACTTGATGTAAACTCTATAGTTTATTTACATAAATCCGTATGATTTATGGCTTAGTCTAAACTTCATTGTTCACCGATTAATTTAAATTTCAATGTTTATTTTTATTTAAAATTATTTATTTAATATTGATTTAGATCTTATGGTTTTCATTATCTATATAAATTTTATAATTTATATATTTACCAAACCTTTTTACTTGGGTTTTCATCACAATTAAATCCAATACTCTTTGAAATTTTTTATTGAGACCCTTTATTCTTTTTTAACTTGATTAAGACCCTTTACTCTTTGAATTTTTTTATTTATTTTAGACCTTTCGATTATAATGCCATTAAACGTGATCGACACGTGAAGTTATAAAGTAAGAAATATCGAAGAAGTGTCTATCACTATTGGTGGTATTATAAAGAGGAGTTTGAAATAAGAAATTTTAAAGAGTAAAGTATCTCAATTAAGCTAAAAGAGAATAGTGAGTCTCAATTAAAATAATTTGAAGAGTACAAGGTTTAAATGTGGAAAAAACTCATTTTTAGTTTATGCTCGTGTTTTGAACTTTTTAGTTTATTATCAATTCTACAATACTATGCTTGATGTAAGCCAACGTTATTTGTGTAGGATTGACTATTGATCCATTCTCATTTGAATTTGTTTTGTTTTAAGTTTGGGTTTTATGCGTATCAAGATCCCGTACAATTCAAAAATTTTTTTTATTAAGATCCTAAATTTTTTTATGTCCAATTTAAGAGTTCTACTCTTATATTATTATTGTTTTAGATCATAATGTACTTCATAAGCACTCGTGTCAAGTTCTAACCATTCACACATTGCCACATGTCATGGTGGCTCAAATTGAGTTTTAACAAAAATAAAAAAATTTTATGTAATAAGCTTTCATTAGCTAGAGCTTATCACGTGTGCTTATACGACACATTAAGATATGAAACTAAAATAATATAAGATAGAACTCTTAAATTGGAAAGAAAAAAACTTTAAGATTTCAATAGAATATCCAAATTGTATGAGGTTTCAATACGAGATAAATCCTTTTAAGTTTTTATAGAATCTATAGTTATGTTTTATGAAGAATTGTTTATTATTAATTCTACAGTAGTATACTTGATGTAAACCGTTGTTATTTGTTTAGGATTAACTATTAATTCATATTTGTTTGATTCTAGGTCTTTGTAGAATATACAATCATGCTTGATGGTGAATTAGTTATTACTTCTCTAAAGATTAAGTTTTAAATATAATATTTTATATGTTTAAATGAAGAAATTTACACCGTTAACAGAACCAAAATAATGCATGAGGTTTATTGGATGATTTCTTAGTGGAGACCATGGTAGTACTCTTTTGTCTCTTGGCAATTTAGATTTCCTCAAGCAATTCTTGGAAGGGCATGTGATCCCCTCCTACGAAGACCCCTTTACGGCGATGGTCCATGCCGCTTGGGCAAGGCTCAAGAAAATTTGGTCACGAGAGACGATGTGGAGTAATATTTGGGATTTGGGAATTAGTCTAGAGTCTATATTTGACTTTCCTTGATTAAACTTTGATAACGATGCATCACCTCTAGTTGTATAATTAATGTGTATTAATGAAGGGTTCAGTGATTGCAAAATCATTGCATAGTAATAATGTAGTTGACCATGATTGTCAATCTCACCAACCAGTGAGTCAATCCGTCTACTGTATTAATAATTTGTGTACTGTTACACATATAACAAACTTACACACATGTGGAGTAGTACTATATAATAGTTTGAGACTACACTAGTGCCAGAGTTTTGAGTTTTGTCTCCTTCTTTTGTTTCTCCGCGTGAAATTACATTAGCTTGAGGTTTGAAAAATAAGAATATGCACATAAGTCACCAATTTACCTGTGCCTTTCTATGCATGTCAAATGAACCTGTTGCATGTTGCGCAATCTGCAGTGAATTGATTGATTCCAAAATATCTTAACCTTTTTCCATTTATTTAATTTGGCTATGGTACCTTGCATATCTGCACTGCCTACAATGAAGATTTAGGTGAAAGTTCATATTTTGGATATATATATATATACACACACACGATGAAAGATTCATGATGGACAATGTATACACATCAAAGCTAATATTTAGTAGAATATTTGTCATACAACAAATAGCAAAATCTGATTATTTTTCCTTTCCAATATTACATTCCATACAATACAACATGAAAATTATTTGCATATATGTGTGCTTGGGTGTACACACACATGAATAGAGTCATTTACAATCACTCTCTTGCTTATTTTCTATCATTAATAGCCTTTATAAATTAATAATAAAAGAAAATGTATTCTTGAGAATCCAAGGTTATCCTAAGAGGTTAATTCAAGTGGCACGTTGGTTTAGCACGAGGTTTTTGGTTTGATTAGTTCTGTATGTGTAGTTATTTTAATCTTTATTGAATATAGATTGTATAAGATTTCCTTTAAATATAAAAGTGTGCAAATCTCAGTTATTTTTGCAAGTGTATAATCATTCTACTTTTACACTCATATATATTGAAATATCTTGACATGTTGGCATGTTGTATGGAGATTGTGGTTAAAGTTGAAAGCAATTAGTCAAATTTAAAAGTGATATAAAGCTTGATGTCATTTATTCTATAAAGAGTAAACTACAACATCCTTCTCCATGTATTGTAAAATTACAAAAACTATCTAAAAATTTAAAGATTTAACAAAAATCACATTCATATTAAAAATATATATATTACACAATATCCTTTTGTATCCAAAAACTCTTAATTACTATTAAAAAAAGTAAATTAAGAATTAAAAAATAAAAATAGAGAAGGAATATAAAAATAATAGACAATTTTTGAAGTACATAAACAATATTAATTTCCATATCAATTATGATTTAAGTTTCTTTTTATTACTCTTTTTCTAATTTTTAAAATTTCTTAATTATACATATGAACTTTCACGTAAATCTATTTATGATTTTTATAATTTCATAATATCTCGGGGTTTTGTATCTATAAAAGATATTACTATCTTAGAAGGAGAGGGGACTTTAAGAGCAATCCCTCCTAATTATTGGTTGTTGGTGCTATTTGACATTTTTAATCCTAAAAATTAGTTAAATGAGTGAGGTTTTTCCCGACATTTATAATTAAATATCTAACTACAACCGAGGTAGAATGACCTAACAATCTCTCTCTTTGCACATTGAGTTCTAAATTAGTTATTTTTTATCAATTTATGTGGCGTCGGTTCATAAAAAATTGTTTAATCTATGCTTTTGATATTAATATTTGGTGCTATTGAACCTTTTCAACTCTAAACATTAGCTTAAAAAATGAGAATTTTTCTCACACTTATAACCAAATACTCAGCTCATGTTGCAACTAATGTAGGATAACCCAATAATTTGTTGAGTTTTAAATGGGAGTGAAAAATCCCCCATTTGTTAAACATAAAATTTGAATTGCTTATATACAAGATGAATATATAAACTAGACTTTTGGATTAAAGTGCTGTCTATACTTATATATAAACCCTCACACGTGTAGGCCTAAATGACTCTCCAAATGCGGATCCGTCCTACAATTGAAAGTAGAGTCGATGGTTCGACATGAGACGAATGACTATTGTGATTAAACTCTTATGACTTTGTCGAATGACTATTGTAGTTAGGTTATGATAGTTTTTTCAGTTTCTTCATTATTGAGCAAAAAAGTTAAATTTCAAACTTTAGATATCATTTAGATTGTTAAATATAGAAAAGTAGGTTTTTTTTTTTTTTTTTTTTTTATTTTATGTGGAAGAGAGACTCATGTGTGATGGAAGAATTTGTTGAGTTCCATGTAATTAGGAATATGAAATTTAAAATGTTTATATATAAAATAAATTCATAATTTATTAGTCTAGATTTTTTAATTAAATTGATATTCATCCTTGTATATAAATCTTCATGCTACCGACTCAAGTAACTCATCAAATATAGATTTCTTCAATATTGATGTCCTTTCGAACGAGTCATATCCCTCAAATTCTAATGATATATATCATGTTATAAATATTACCATAATAATATTTTTTTCCTTTTTTTTTTCTTAGCCTGATATTAAAACATAAAATGAACGTGAAAATATTAATTGGTTTGATAGACTCGTGAGTTTAATTTCGATGAAAATATTCTTAAAACTCTTAATTTCTTTTTGTTTTTGTTGTTGGTCAACTCATGGATTTGTGTGATCTCCTGGTTTTGACCCATCCAATTAATGACTGCCCATCGACTGATCTAGACCAATGACTTGTACAGTTGGTGGGCCGTCCTCAACCCAATTTACATGTGAGGTTGGTGAAAGGCACTATCAACCTTTTATTGTCCTTCGCATTTCCATAGTTCTCCATATGCGGTCAAAATGGCGTCTAAAATAACAGTTTAGACTTTAGACCATGCTATGCTATGCTATCCCGGGTACTGATTTATATAAATGGATGTGGGATGGAGAAAGACCAGAGAAATGATTCAAGAGAAAATGGTCTTTTGGGTACAAGCGACTATTACTAGTAGTATGCCATTGTTACGATAGAATTCAAGAAAAAGTAGAGCCCTGTCTTTATTATAGAGAACAATAATAATAATAATAGTGATAATGTAAAGTAAGAGTATTCTCCTAAACCAAACATCTCTGGTTACACACATCCCTCCTTATAAATTCTTCACATCAGTTATTCATTCTCACCTCACAGTTTGTCTTCGTTCCTTCTCTATTCTTTATTGTGAGTTTGAAAAAAAAAATATTCACACATATATCTTCCCATTGTGCTAGTGAATCTTGAAAGCTAGAGAAAATGGTGGTCAAGAAGCCAAGAATTGTGATTATTGGAGCAGGAATGGCTGGTCTCACTGCTGCAAACAAGCTCTATACTTCCAGTAGCTCAAACGATATGTTTGAGCTCTGCGTTGTGGAAGGTGGCACAAGAATTGGTGGCAGAATTAACACTTCAGAATTTGGTGGTGACAGGATAGAGATGGGTGCAACATGGATCCATGGCATTGGAGGCAGCCCGGTTCACAAAATTGCTCAGGAAATCCATTCACTTGATTCTGAGCAGCCATGGGAGTGCATGGATGGATTCTTGGACGAGCCAAAGACCATTGCAGAAGGTGGGTTGGAGCTTAGTCCATCTCTTGTGGAGTCAATATCCACACTTTTTAAGAACCTGATGGATTATGCTCAGGGGAAACAGATTGAAGGTACGGAAAGCACTGAAGAGTTTAATTTCTACAAGCTTGCAGCTAAAACTTGTAAGATTTGTCAAAGCAATGGTGGTGGTCCTGGAAAGCTCAGTGTTGGTTCTTTTCTTAGGCAAGCCCTTACTGCTTACTGGGATTCCGTGAAAGAGCGAGAACAGATAGAAGGGTGTGATAATTGGAGCAGAAAGTTGCTTGAAGAAGCCATATTTGCGATGCACGAAAACATTCAAAGGACTTATACTTCTGCTGGTGATCTCTTGACTCTTGACTTCGATGCAGAGAGTGAGTATCGCATGTTTCCAGGTGAAGAAATCACCATTGCTAAGGGCTACTTGAGTGTTATTGAATCACTAGCTTCAATTTTACCTCGTGGCCTAATCCAATTAGGCCGCAAGGTCACAAGAATTGAATGGCAGCCTGAAACTCACCAGTCAAAGGAAAACGGTTGTGCTGATAGGCCTGTGAAAATACATTTCTGCGATGGATCAATAATGTCAGCTGATCATGTTATAGTTACAGTTTCACTCGGGGTACTTAAAGCTGGAATTGGTCCAGATTCAGGTATGTTCAATCCTCCTCTTCCAACTTTCAAGACAGAGGCCATATCCAGGCTAGGATTTGGTGTTGTGAACAAGTTGTTTTTGCAATTGAGTTCAAGGCACCATGAAGGAGATGAGGATTACAACAAGTTCCCATTCTTGCAAATGGCTTTTCATCGAGCAGACTCCGAATTGAGGCATCAAAAGATACCATGGTGGATGAGAAGGACAGCTTCTCTAAGTCCAATTTATAAAAATTCTAGCGTGTTGCTATCTTGGTTTGCAGGGAAAGAAGCTATCGAGCTTGAAAATCTTAGTGATGAAGAGATTATTGATGGGGTCTCCACAACCATATGTAGCTTTTTATCACAACCCCACAAGCAATTGAATTCTAATTCTCATGAACTACGCAATGGGAAAGTGAAATCTCTGGGGAGTGCCGATGAAAATGGAGTTAAATTCAGTAAGGTATTGAAGAGTAAATGGGGTAATGATCCTCTGTTCTTGGGATCTTACAGTTATGTTGCAGTTGGATCAAGTGGAGATGATTTGGACACATTGGCAGAGCCATTGCCGAAGATTGCTACTTTAGAATCCGCTGGTTGTCTTCCACTTCAAATTCTGTTTGCAGGGGAGGCAACACACAGAACCCATTATTCTACTACTCATGGTGCTTATTTTAGTGGTCTTAGAGAAGCCAGTAGGCTTCTTCAACATTATCATTGTGTTGGGGCTTAGACACTTGGTAGTTAAATTTTTGTTTTTTTGTTTCTTTGTTTTTTTTTACTGATATATTTCCTCAATTTCCTTCCATCTAAAACATCTTTCTCTCTTTCGAGTTGATTACCAGCACAGAGCAAAAGAAAAAAGAAAAAGAATTAGGGAGAGATGAAAGAGATAGATTGGGATATTTTTAGAGATGTATTGCCTGAATTAAAGAACCTTCTTCCTATTTTTCTAATGCTTTCTCTTTGTTTGCGATTGCGAGTGTAGTTTCTTTCTCTATTTTTAAATCTATTTGATTTTCAAAGCAAACCAATTAAGATTGTGTTGGTCAATTGGCATTGATTGAATGTTTTTTCAAAGTTTAAAGTAAAGAACAAAGAAAGGCTTTGGATCCCACCTCTTTGTTAAATGTATGTTTTTGCTTCCTCAGTGGACAGGATCCGATAAACCCGGCTCTTTCCAGCTTGGAATCTCTTCATCAGTTGTTTTCCATGCCCTGTTTTCTCTGCCCACAAACAATCTGTGCTTACGAGACCAAACAAGCCCTTGTAACTCCAACCCACAACTTGGAATCAGGATTAGAAATAGAAATAGAATTAGACAAGTTGGGATAATCAATGAGCTGGCTATAAAGGTATGTGATTCACATGAAAATCTGAATAGGAACCATACAGTACATCTACAGTATCAAATTGCAGACATGATGGGCCAATAGGGAGTCAATCAGACTGGTTGCCAAAATGTCCTTAACAATGAGACATAGGTAGAGATGCTTATGGTCATCTGATAGCTTTGATCTTTAGTGGTGCATAAGAATAGATAGGTCCCATTCCATGCATACGTGAGTTTATGCAAAGACATACACTAAGACAGTTAACTACTTATTGCTTAGTAGACAACAATAGTAGCCTACTCACCCCACAACTTGGCTGGTGGTACCATTAGATTTCTCTTCAGACAACAAATCCTTCGTCTGCATGCTAGAGACAGAAATCGACTGTCCTTAGTAACACAAATATTTCTGTCTCTCACTTGAAATAAGCAAATGGCTACAAATGAAAGTCGGCATTGCAGTTGGTCCACATTCTTTTTAAATAATTGTCAAGCTATCTATCACCTTGAAATGTTTTACTACTACAAGATGTAGCCAATTCAATCAAAACCAAGGCGTCAAGAGTAACTCCAAAACTCTGCCGCGCTCTATGGTGTCCGTTTAGGGACACTGTATGGTCAAATCAATAGATCTAAGCTATTCGTAGAGAGTCCATTATTGTAAGATTTTCCGGCCTCTCCCCAAAAAAACTGGAGTGGCCCACTTGCTGTCTCTTTTTGCCTCTTGTGGGCTTCAATCACTCTTTGATCATTGTGCATATATCACCCACCAATCTGTCACCTAGTCATTTGTTTGATTCATAAACAAACAACAATCTCCCTCCCATCCCCCATTACCCCTCCACTCCCACCCACTGCCTCATCCAACATGTTAATTACTTACCTTGACCCTCTTTTTTTTGACCCCTAATCATCATCATTAGCAACACCTTTAATTGTTAAGGATAGTGCATCTAATTAGTTTAATCAATTCTCTAGTCCTTACTTGCCACAAGCATAATTAATTTGTCATGACCACACGCACCCTCTAATTTACAGGTGTTTTGAACAATCAAAGCCTAATTACAGTTCCAAGCTGAGGATTAATTACCTTTCACCCGAAAACTAAAATTTAAAATTTAAAATAATTTGCCTCTTAGATTGAATATTTAATTTGGTACATCTAGCTTCTTTTGACCTCTTGATTCGGGGTGCTGTCAATATTTATTTGCAGATAGACCATTGAATTGAGGACACGGGTTAAAAGAACTAGATATTGCATTTTATTTCTTTGATATTGCTAGCAGTTTATATATATATATATATATATATATATGTTTCGTTTGTGCTTAAAACTTTGGAGAAGATCTTTTCTACTTTGAGCTATTAAAGTTATGAACTTATAATAATCATGCACACCTATCTTTAAAGTGATCAAAAGTTGACGCAAAGCATTTTGATCAACATTGTGGAAAATGACATGGCCAGAATATATAGGAAGAAAAAGAAGCATGCACAAGCAGGATAAGTGACGGTGTATTGGTATCGGAGACATATATATTAATCCCTTCAGCCTCAGGAGTTATAATACATAATATAATATAATCTTCTAGGTTGGTAATCAACCAGGCAAATGATAACTAAAACGCTTAATTATGCGTTCCACATGAAAAAAAAAAAAAAAAAACCAATTAAGAAGGAGATATCCTTAGTACTATCGAGCATTTATTTTTTGAACTTTGTGATAGTATGTGTACTATTTATATAAATTAGAAGCCTTTACAGTAACACTTACAGTTATTCGGTTGGGTGGTTCTAATCACATCCTTTTTATTTTTGAAATTATCACTCGAAGACAGCATTTCTTTGTCCTTAGGTGTCCAATATCTTTAAACCAATGATCTATGCTTTTTTTGCAAATCTTAGATTAAAAGTCTCATGATGCATTAGGAGCTGTCTGCTTTATTCTTTCTAAACGATCGAGAATAACTTTTCTATCCTTAAGAGGACCAATGATGTTGAAAGTGAAGACAACTGATATAAGTAAGTTATCATTTTGGCATCTAATTTCTGCTTTATAAGGGGCCTTGTGATGATAGGGAACCCCTTTAACTAAAAAATCAATTAGCATATTGCATACATATGTTAAAAAGAAAATTTATGTGAAGGAATCTAGCTAGGGGTCTATTCATAGGGTAATAGGGTCTTTGGAGACTTCCCCAACTATCACAAAGTAACAATTAATCATCAACTCTTCTGGTCCAGCTGATACTATCTTTTACCTACAATCCGATTTATGATGATGCAAAGCACCATCTCTTTTAAGATTTATCCTTCACATCAATTCAAGAAACAATTTTCTTCTTGCCACTATTGATTGAAATACATCGTCTAGCAATGTTAAAATATCCAGAAAAATGGCAGTTAAAACCAAGCCCATCATCTGCAGCCACTTATATTTTGTTGGTGGTGCATCCATCATTCAATTGGTGAGCTCTCAACAGCACCCAGCAACTGTTGATTCGAACATTGCATTGCAGGTCTTATATATTGTTATTGAATATACCAGGCCGTTATGGGTTGTGCTTTTAAAAAACTTAATTTTAGTTGACATAAAAAGAATTTTACTGTTTGTTACGGAATTTTTTTATGCCCATCTCAACTAAAAAGATTTTGTATATATATATAAAAAATTAATATAAGTAAAGATTAGAAAGTATAATGTAGGATAGTCTATCACACATGTAGGTAAATCAATCAAATTGATTATCCTAGGCATACTACTGCTGACTCTAATGAAAATTTTTTTAGTGTTTTATGTTATAAGTAAATTAAATTAAATACCGCAATAGGCCTACAAATCCTTGGAAGAAGATTATGACCACTCAAAAATAGGCTTCTTCTACCAGCTCCCCTAAAGTCTCGTAGAGATAGATCTTCGAGTGAGAATTTAAAATCCGACCTAGTCTATCCTCATGTGCATCTTAAGTCCCGAAATAATTATGATCTCTAGCCATAATAAGCATGTGTATCCAATTTGATTTATTTTATCATTTGAGTATTTTATATTTATTGTATTTATTGTTTTAAGTATTACATAGAGAAATATAGGTCGCTCCTCTAATAATCAATTCTCTCTTATAGTCTACAATACTAGATCACGACACCATAAAATGGAGGATGAAGAAAGAACCATGTTAGAATAAAGCCATCAAAAGGACATCGGTGCTCTAAAGGGAAAAGTTTCTCAACTCACTAGTCCGCTCGAGTGACCATTGCATGCCATTTCATATGGGGAAGGAACTTCTAATGGGGCAAGCCTAAGTGAAAATGTCATCCTCTATTTCTTGGTCAAATGTATAAATGCCACTATGGTCATTTACTATCCCACATGCCCGATAGAGGACACTTGGTTCTACACTCGAGGCTTAATTTTCTATTATGTAGCTTACTTATACAAGGTTCACACAAACACCATATATACGAGCCCCTCTTACCATCAATCTCACCTACAAGTTGTCCACCATAAAACAACGCTTAAGACCAATAAAAAGCATTGACATATATGATCTAATGAGGCATGCCTGAGATATACCTCATTCTTGATTTAGAGATTCCTACAAGTTTAGTGGTTCCAAAGTTTGTCTAGTATACTAGCATACAATGCCCAATGATGCATTTGTGAGTTTACTATATTAAGATGGTAGAAATGGTCTATAATGAGAAACTACTAATCTATTTCTTTCATGAAAGCCTCGAATATTTCAACTCTAAACTAGTACATGTCCCTAGATGGAAAAAAGATCAAGAAATAGAAGGATCTTTGTAGATGTTTTTGCTAAGAAGTACAAATTTAATATGGATGTTACACTTAATCGCTCCGACTTTTAAAATATGGAAAAATGGTCCCAATGAGTCTATAAAGGAATATGCTTAAAGGAGTCCGTACTAATTAACCTACCGTTGATTGAGCGAGAATTGATCTTTATCTTCTCCAACATTTTTAAAACCCTTTATTTTGAATATCTAGTTGATGATTCATCACCCAATTTGACAAACATCATTATGATTGGTGAAAAGGTAGAGCAAGGTATCAAGGCGGGTAGGAATTCTAAAATTTTTGAGAAAAAGAAACGTAATGTTGACAAGAGGAAGGACAATTAAGTGCACCAAGTAGAGGCTAGTCAATATCGGCCTAAAGCATATGTTAGTGTAGATGCCCTAGATCTAACTTGTTTGGATACTTTGGTATATTGTATCATTGTATTTCAATATTAATAAAAAAGTCTTTCTATTAATTCTTGTTATTTATGATTTGATAGAGTTAGATAAAAGTCCGTATGATATGCATTGCATTAATGATTAATCAATACATATGAGAGAAAGATCAATGCATTTAAATGATATCATTAAATGTCTTAAGTCGTAATATTATCAAGAATGAACATTGACAAAATACGATAATACTTGTGAGTGTTATGCTTTTACTATAAGATAACAATAGGAGATCTCACAATTATTACTGTGGTAATGCCAAAGTAAGCATTTAAGTGAATAATGTTGGAGAACATATCACTAGACATGACTCACCATGAGAACTCATTTGATATTATCTATGGAAATCTTATATGAGATGGATACAAGTAGTCCTTTGATTTGAAGTCATCACGATTATCTTATTAGAGGATTGATGTACATTGACATTTGTTTCAAAGGACTTAGTAAAGAATTGCATATGTGCCAATTATTACGTGCATTAAGAATCTAATAGAGATAGTGAATGATTAAGATATGAGATGTCATTCCTTATATGCTAAAGGAGTTATCATATTGTACTTCGATGAATGCTTGATCAAGAATTTATGGCCATAGTAGAAGCATACCAATAAAGCATAGTTGGTTTACTTAAAAGTTAAGATATTTAGAGATTAAAGAAAATTTATGTGATCATAATCAAACGGACTATAAACCAAGTTTAAGATCAATTATGATAAATTGACACAAGGGCTGAACTATATAGAAATCATGTTTGTGAAAGGTAATTATAGATTAATTAATCCTTCTAGAGAATTAAGTGGTCATAATGTCTTACTAAAGGTTAATTTTGATTTATATATCAAGAGATAAAAGAAGTGTCTTTTATCTTCTTGATACATTATCAACATATCTAAGAGCTTATTGAGTCATATGCATAAGTTTAAATATTCACACAATAAAAGAGAAGCAAAGGTTTTGAAAAAAGTTTTTTATTTTTAAATTTTTTTTTCTATTTTGGAAAATTAGTTTCCTAAAATGAAAATCAGTTTACTATTTTATAAATCAAATTTTCTAATTTGGAAATCAATTTCCAA